CACTTCCCCAGCTTCCTGTGCAGCAGGTGCCATGTCTTCCTGCCTGGAAGAGGGCAGAGACTGGACGCGGTGCCCTTAGTCGCCCTCTCTGTGGGGCAACTAAGGTGTGTCTGAAACCCCGGGGAAGGGCACGAGAAAGACCAAGCGCCTGGATGCCTCAGTGTACGCAGTGGGAGTGGCGGCACCAGCTCGGGGCAGTCAGCCAAGATACACAGCTATCTGTTTAAGCTAGTATTAGCCAGATTTTTCTGTTATTTGCAGCCAAAGGCATTACTAACAGATACAATTAGAAAACAAAACCAAACAAATACTTAGCTTAGTAAGTTACTATAAGTCAGCCACTCTTGTAACCATCATCCAGTTCAAGAAATGGAACTTGGTCAGCTCCCCCCAGAAGCCACCCCCCACCATGTATTCCATCCCAGTGTCAAGCCCCCTCCTTCACTCAAAAGGAACCAGTAACCTGATGTTATAGCAATCATTTCCTTGCATTTCCTTACAGTTTGATCACCCAATGTATACTCCTTGACACTATCATTTTGCTTTTATCCATTTAAAATTTTTTCTAATGCTTTATACCTCTTTTACTCCATGGTTTACCCTTTCCATGCCTTTCTGTCAGCTCTCTTTTCATAGCGCCCTATTGTTTAGTCCTTTCATTTCTGAATTTTCCAATCCTGATGTAGACAGTTCTTTCATAACTTCTATCATTGACTTAACTTCCTTTAGCTTCTACTGTAGTTTAATGAAGTTTCTTCTGCTTTGGGACCCTCTTCTTCCGCTATGACTCCATTATCTGTAACTTTATTATTCAGAGGCGTTATCCCCATTTTTTTCTTATATTTACGTGAAGTTCAACCTCAGTGCATTTCTGCTGTTCACATGAAGTGACGTGGATAAGGGGGTAGACCCACAAGAGCTTGCCTGGTTTCATGGCTCTAGGGCTCCCTCTTCTGGTTTCCCATTAAAGTATTACAAATACGGCCTCTGGGTGTAGCCACCTCTCCCCAGTCCTCTCTGAGGTCTACTCCCTCTGGTCTCCACCACCAGCAGTATTCGAGCTTTCTTTCTCCTTTAATGCCCCGCCGATCAAGGTCTGTGGTCCTAGCAGGTCATTTTTAGGGAATGGCTCTGTCCTTGCAGAGAGATCTTCCGCAAGGGATTTCCTGAGAGTCCTGAAGGCCCAGGTCACTCCAGCAGCCTCACATCTCCTCCAATTTCCTTGCCCTCAGCCACAAATTGGAGCCTGTCAAACCCCCTCCCAGTATGAACTGTTGTTGCCTGATAGGCCCATAAAATTCTTTACTCCCAGTGGGGACCCCTCCTTCTGAGTGTGAACACTGGTGGGAAGTGCCTGGGCTCCCCAACCATCTAAATGATCAGCAGCCCCTCCTCCCTGTGCTTCCTCCAGCACAGCTGCTGCTTGTACCCCCAAGTCTCACTGCTGCTAGTTGACTGAGCCCACCAGGTGATGTCTGGGCATTCACGGGGATCCTCTGTCAGCTAGCTGAGTCTCTGTTTTCTCTTTTGCCATCCTGCTTTCTCTATTTATGTTAGGGATTAAGGGGGATTCCAAAACTACCCCCCATCACGCCTTCCTTTTCAAAAAGTTTAACTCATTTATTGAGAATAAACAAAGAATAATCTGGTGTTGGAAAATGGCAACTGTATCATGAGGTTGTCCCAGATCGTTATGAATCTAGGCAATAAAGTCACTCCTCCAAGCACTCCAGATGCTAAGCAGGCATCAACAGGGGGCATCCCCAGCAGATGTACTTTCTAAAGGACAGACAGGTCATCTTTGTAACAAGCACAAGGTCAATCTCTTTCTTCCACCCTTAAAAACCGTTTATCAAGTTATACGACAGGAACAATCTTTGGGGATTAGGCTGAAAAAAAGTTCTTATTTTCTGTTATTTATTACATGAACGATATGTGCAGCTCCTTACATAAAACCCATGATGGTTGATTTTACTTGTCAAACTGACTGGGCCATGGGGTGCCCAGATATTGGATCGATCATTATTGTGGATGTGTCTGTGGGGTTCTGGATGAAATTCACATTAGAATCAGGAAACTGACTAAAGCAGCTGCCCCTCCCCGGTGAAGGGCCTCATCTAGTCTGTTGAAGGTTTCACTAGAACAAAAAGGTGGAGTAAGGAAGAATTCATTCACTTTCTCTGCCTGCCTGCCTGCCTTTGGAACTACAGCATTGGCTTTACTGGTTCTCAAGCCTTCAGACTGCAGATCTTGGGATTTCTTACCTTCCATAATTGCATGAGCCAACTCCTTATAATCAATCAATCAATCAATCAATCTCTCTTTCCCTCCCCATCTCACCATGTATATACACACAGATATCTATGTCTCCCATTTGTTCTGTTTCTTTGAAGAACCCTGACTAACACAAAACCTTTACCCTAGTTTATCATTATACAACATAAGAACTGTTTTGTTTTGAACCCAATGCTGAAGAAAAATGAACAATGACAATAACAACTCTTAAGGTCTTACCACAAAGCAGGCGCTACGCTAAACATTTTACAATCTCGTTCAGTCCACATAAAAGGCCTAGGTGAGCAGTATGGCCACACCCCCCAAGTTAGAGATGAGAAGTCAGGCCCTGTATAACGGGCTGCTTTCTGCTGCAGTATCACACTTTCCCAAATCTCAGTGGTTGAACCTAAGAGGAGTTTTATCTATTACTCATACACTATGTCCCCTGGGGTTGGCACCAGAGGCCTCTGTTCACATCTGTCACTCAGGGACTCAAGACTGGTGGAGGCTAGCCTCAATGAACAGAGAACAGGGCTGGCAGCCCAGGAGACCTGGTCCCAGGACTTTATCAGCAAGGGTGCTAGCAGGAAACAAAAAACACCCTCAAACTGAGCAACGTGAGAAGCGTTTATAAATGGATTATTTACAGAAGTGTGCACAGAGGATGGGAAAGCTACAGGGGAGGCTGAAAACAGGGAGCTTTCATCCTGTCCCTCGGCCCAAAGGGTCCAGGGAAGGAGTGATCACCAGAACCAGGTGCTGTGTGGTGAGGGTCACCCAACAGGAGCTGTGACCTGTGATCAAGGGACACAGTCAGCCCACAGAGACCCTGCCCAGCTACCCTCCTTCCAGTCTCCTACTGGCATGCCCCTGCATACAAATCCAATGGGAAAGTGGAAGGAAAAGAACCTTTGAAGTCTTGCACACAAGCAGTCTGCCATGCCCCTCCTGAGCAAGATGAGTGCTGACGAGCAGAAGATGATGGGGGCGGGGAGGCGGGGAGCGGATGGACAGGGGATGACAGACTGGGTGAGTGGCTTCTGAAGGCGGGCAGTAAACAGACTGCCCACCCCCCAGCTGGACCCCTACAATCAGCGAGATCAGGGTCACAACAGCTGTTTCCAACTGGACATAGACTGGGAAATTACAATTAACTGACTGAAGCCTGCTAGTACAGGTGTCAAAAAAGCAGTGGGAAAAATTAAAAGAACAGTCGAAAGAGGAAGCAGGCAAAATCAAGAACCTGAATTTGTTCATTCAGCTAACTTTTCCTGAGCACTTCATCTGTGCGCAGAAGAGTACTTAGCACTTACGAACACTTGGTACTAAGCGGTGACTAATGTTTATGTACAAGACAGATCTGACTCAACAGCTGTGGGGCCAACTAACTGGAACAGTCAAGGAAGAATCACTAGGCAGGTGGCGGGTCTGAACTCAGTCTCAAAGGCTAAGCAAAAGACTGACCGCCTGGGTGGTGCGACAGGAGAATTCCCTGTAACACAGATCACAGATTTTGAAAGGTGTGACTAGTCTGCAGGACTCGAGGGGTGTAAAAGTGACAGGATTACAACCAGAGGAATCGCGGCATGATGGTTCTTAGGCAGGAATCCCACTCCTTTTCCCGGGTAGCTGCTCAGAAATGTACTGCGGGCGGAAACATATCTTGTCTCCCGAATTGGGGGTCCACTTAAGTAGCAGTCCACAAAGATGGCGCGTGGCACCCATGACACAAAGCCACAAAATGAAGAGGGCGCCAGGTCACAGAGCAGCCTGCACCACCCCACGCACATGGTGTCCCCTTCGACGGGAAGACCGAAGAGTGGAGCCAAGGAGAGTGTCACCAGGGACAAGGACTCTTACTCTTCCATATCCATCAGTACCACCGCCATGTCCTGATACCAGAGTTGGTGTTTGATGCACCCGGCACAAGAAGTCAACGCAGCCTTCTGGTCCCCTTTAACCCTGCACTGAAGTTTTTTCTTTTATGGCCCAAGTTTCCAAACAACGGATATTTTTTTAGGAAAAGCTGGTTAAAAACACGTCTAATTTACAAAAACAAGTCTACATTTCAGAAAGATTTCCATGAAAAAGCAGTTCATGTTCTGATGTTTAAGGAGTGTAAACTTTCCATTTTCTAAAACTTTCTTTTCTGTAAAACCCTTACTGTCCCGATCTTCAAAGGCCAAATAAAAAAGGGGGTGTCATGGTAATGCCTTCCATTATCTTCTACCGCAGCACAGACACATTAAAGTGAAGTGAACAGTTGCAAAGATAATCTGGAAAAATAAGCTTTTCTAGCCAATTAAATGAAGCAACACTAATAGCTCAGAGAACAGTATCAGTGATCTTTACGTTGCATGAACCTCCCTTGGCTTATGGGCGGTACTAGTGACAAGTCAGAAATAAAGTTACAGAGGAGAACTGTTAGTAATGTATTTTCAGAGAGACTAAACACCTCTCTTAGACTTACGAAGAATCATTTCTCAACACACACACATTTGGAGGTATCACAGACATCATAATATTACAATAATAAAGCTATTTTTCCGAGTGCTCTTTACAAACGTACCTAGGTTAAGTGATGATTTGTTCTTTATTAAAAAAAAAACAACAACACAGGGAAAACAGAGAAATCTCTGCCTGAATCAGATGTGGAGAGGGACCGACATAATTAGCAGATGCTACACTCAGGGCTTTACGTGCATTACCTGATGTAATCTTCACAAAAGCCCTAAGAAATAGGTACTGTTCTTCCTACTTTATAAATGAGGAAACGGCCACGCAGGAGATACGGTGTGTCCAGGCCCCCCAGTCAGTGACTGGTGGGGCTAGAACTCAAACTTCCACCTGCAACTCCACAGCCCACATTCTTTTCACAAACCAGGGCGCTCCAACCAGCCAAGTCTTCAGTAGCAACTTACTGAGAGTGCATGTAAGAAAATATGGGGGCCCTGTTTGGGGAAAGCATCTTAGGAACTTGTTTGGAAAACTGGGGACTTTTGAAGAAAGTACGAACCACCCTGACTCCGGACTGCTGTTCTCATGTGCAGATCCTGGCCTTGAGCTGTAGCGCTTCCTGCCTCCAGCCAGCCCTGCGCGCTTCAACTGGCAAGAGCTAATTCTTTAATATCGATCCTGTTGCTACTTTTCTGAATTCAGTGGGGTTTGTATGCTGACAGACTCCTTGGTTTGTCTCCAGTCTGAAGGCAAGGGGAGATTCTCTCAGCAACCAAGGGCCTCTGTTCTGAACAGGTTTTTCCTCAAATTGCAGGGCTTGTCCCTATACTTGTGCTACTAAATGTACACAGGTATAGCCCACCACCTGGATTTTTCCTAACCGTGGAATACATTGTGCAGCATTTAATACATTGAGCCTTTAAAGCTGTCTGTCCATTTATCTTTATTTCAAAAATCTGAACATAGGGCCAGCATATACTTGAGCTCAGTGTTCGATGGTGAAATTTAAATGTGAATAAAATAGTATACCCATGTTTAAAAAAAAAGAAAAAGAAAATACGAGGATGGGGGGAGGGTGTAGCTCAGTGGTAGAGAGCATGCTTAGTATGCACAGAGTCCTGGGTTCAATCCCCAGTGCCTCCATCATAAACAAACAAACAAACAAACCTAATTACCCCTCCTCCCAAAATTCAAAAATAAAAATAAAATAGTCCAAATCATGGAAGCAGAGAGTGAAATGGTGGTTGCCAGGGGCTAGGGGGAGGAAGAAACAGGAAGATACTGGTCAAAGGGTAATAAAAAGAAAACGGAGAATTAAAAAAAAAAAGACAGAAAGAAAATACGAGGGTAAGAGAGGGCAATGGTTTTTGAAATATTGAGGTTTTTCAGAGCCATCAACTTGTCTAGAGCTGTGCCATCCAATGTGGTGGTCACTAGTCACAAGTAGCTATTGAAATTTAAACTATTTAACGCAAAATGAAATTTAAAATTCAGTTCTTCAGTTGCACTACCCCACATTTCAAGTGCTCAAGAGCCACATGTGCCTACTGGCTACCATGAAGTCCTGGGCAGATTATGAGATGTACCTAACGCCACAGAAGGTCTACCGGGTAGCACTGCTCCACAGGACCCCCAAGAGGCACAGTGAAGTGAGGGAGCTGGGAGTCTTATTATGTTAGAGATCATCACTGCCCAGAATGTTAGAGGGCGTCAGAGACATTGAAAAGACCTTTCCATCTGCACCATGAAGACAGGGAATCAGCCCTTTCTCCATAAATCCTTTCCCTACAATGCACTTGCAATAGCTGGCATTACAGAAAAGAAGAGCTGTAACTCTTCTATGTGAACTGATTTAATTACAGGTTCCAACTTGGAGAGGAGAGCTTTTTGGTTTGTTTGTTTTGGAGCTGCAGGGGAGGAAGGTTACATAATAATTCCACTTTTAAGAACTGGTTCAACTAACACTTGAAAAATACAAGGTAAGAGATTTACAAATAGGAACCACATCACAGTGTGCAGGAACATGACACAAAAGGACTTTACAAATTAAATTACATCCACTGCAGGCGCTGGTGCATATTTCTACTTAGCAGAGGTATTATTTAAACCAAATGATATGTTTCCTGAAAGAAGGCAAAAACGCAACACTGAGAAAAAAGACAGTCTAAGTGGAAAAAGTATGAGCAAATTAGACATTCTGAAATGCAAGACAGAAGGGTAATACAGGTGGAAGCAACTCAAGTGCTCGTTGGCAAATGGATAGATAAACAAAATGCGGGATATTCATACAATGGAATGTTATTCAGATTTAAAAGGAAGGAAATTCTGACACATGTTACAAGATAGATGAATCTTGAGGACATTATAATGAAATAATGAAATAAGCCACACACAAAAAGAAAAACACTGTACGATTCCACTTCTACGAGATAGCTACAGTAGTCAAACTCATAGAGATAGAAAATAGCATGGTGGTTGACCGGGACTGAGGGGAGGGGGACATGAGATGCTGTTTAATGGGCATAGATTTTCAATTTTGCAAGATGAAAAAATTCTGGAGATTGATTGCACGACAGTGTGAATATACTTAATATTGCTGAACTATACATCTAAGAATGATTAAGATGGTAACTTTTATGTTATGTGTTTTTTACAATAATAATAATATTAATATTAATAATAATAATAATAAAAAAAGGGAAATGCAGGCCCTTCTTAGAAAAGCCATCTAAGTCTGTTAGACCGCTTCCTGGTCTCTGCCTCCATGGTTCCACGTTGATACTGCAGTCTCCCTAACGTAACGCAAGTTAATGATTGCTCTGAACTTTGTAAGATTTGAATAGTGGAATATCATAACGTGAAGGCCAAATTTGCAAATACCTGGGTCAGTGGCAGAGATAATTGCTCCGAAAAAGAGACAATCCGTGTAGTAAAATTTATCCGAGAGCTGCCCCACGATCTTCATGAGCTTCACCACACCGTACATGAGATTTCTGGAAGAAGGAAAGATAAATTATGCCAGAAGGGGAAAAAAAGAAACTTGCTTGCAAATACGCAAGCAGCGGAATACTAGAATACCATCTCCAAGAGGGGTCTGTGAAAACATCGGGCAGCCGCGGTGCTTGGACGCTCACCAGGAGCATGTGCAAGTAGAATTCTGGCACCAAGCAGTGGTTTGCAGTTAACGTCATCTTGCTGAAACATTGGAACATTCCATCTTTTAAAATTGTGCTTACTTACAAATATAAAGTATAGGCCTCAATTAGCAACAAAGTTAGGCATTTTAAGCAACTGGGTAATAGGGGAGAAGATAAAGAATCCTGTGTAATGTATAATGAATTGTTACAAAATTCCCAGGATTCAAAGACAGTACATTTCAAGTCATGGAAATGAAGGGACAAGATGAAGCTGGAGAGGAGAAAAAAAAAAAAAGGAATTAGGCCACAAAGATCCAACTGGTCAACCTTCTCTGCCAAGAATGATTTCAAAGAAGGGAAAGGAGGCAAAATTCTCTGAACATCCCATTAAAATATCAGCATTACCCACTGGCCCATCTGGCTTCTCACTCTTTGCATGAGCCAGGCAGGCCAGCAGCAGTCCTTATGCCGTACGGAATGTGATACGGCCCGAGAAGGATCACTAAGTTAAATATTTCAACTTGGCCAGAGCACATTTCCAACAGGACAGCTGACAAACTGGGAAGAGTGAGAAGTGTTAAAAGGCCTAGTACGTGTTATTAAGGGTGTGTGGGTGGGTGGGTGTGGGTGTGTGTGTTGGCAGCAGCTGCAGGGATTAGGGGAATAAAAATAACCACAGAATGAAGAGAAATTAAGAAAAGAATCCCATTTACAACAGCACCAAAGAGAATAAAATACTGAGGAATAAATTTCACCAAAACGTTAAATAAACAGCTGCAGAATAGACTCACTGGACCCTACGGCCAACCCCCAAGAATAAGATTCTTGATGGTGGTCAAGACCACGCGACTGCTCATCTTTATCCCCTGGGCGTCTAGAACAGTGGACTGACTAAGCTAGGAGTTCAGGAACGATTTGCAGAATTAAATCCTTTTAAGGATAAACAGCTATGACTTAATGGCAGCCTACTGTGTGCTGAGTATACTTAAACAGTTCTATTTCAAAGCACTAACTCTGTGATACAGTTTTGATTTGCTCTTTGTTGCTTATCAAAGGCTTCTCTCATCTACCTTTTAAATATTCGTTGAAACTAGACCTTTCTCTCCATTTCCTTTCATCATAAGCTTAGACCTGGGCAACAGACTTCTCCCTGGCAGCGTTCTCCCCATCCTGCCTCCCACCGCCGCCAGTACCAGTTGTCCAACTGGTCCCTCTTCCATGGCTCGTCTCTCTTAAAGGACAGAGTCCAAGCCCCTCCTCTTTTTGATGGCATCAGAGCCTCCTGCTTTCATCTCCACCTTTCTGGCTAATTTTTTTTAACTAACTAAAGTCTGTATTTCATTCCGATTTCCTCAGTTCCTACCTCACATCCCTTTTCTGTTCCAGGATCCCACCCAGGGTCCTGCGTTACATTTATTCATCTCCTCTTGGCTGTGACAGATTCTCCGACTCTGCTTGTTTTTGAAGACCTTGGCAGTTGTGAGCAGGACTGCTTGGGTATTTTGTAGAATGTGGGACTTGTCTGATTTTTTTTTCCCTCATGATTAGACTGAGGTTTCTGGGAGGAAGACATCACATCACAAATGTTGAGGGTACGGAGGATCAACGTGATCTACCACATTTCTGGTGTTAATCCTGCTCACCTGGCTAAGGTAGTGTTTGTCAGGTTTCTCCACGGTGAAGTGACTCTTCTTCCTTTCCATGCTGTCCTCTTTGGAAGGAAGTCACTATGCACCGCCCACAATCAAAAGGGGGGAAGGCTAAGTGTCATCTACTTGAGGGGGAATGGATCTGCATAAATTTGGGATTCTTCTGCACAGATTTGTCACTTCTCCGCCATTTATTCCTTCATCCAATCATTTACTTTTATCATTATAGACTCAGAGATACTTGTTTTATACTTTGGGTGATAATCCAAAACAGTGTCATTATTTTTGTTGTCTCTGGCCATTAGGGGAGCTTTCGGGTTGGCTCTGTGTCCTTTTGACATGCTTCACATCCGTTTGTTTGTTTTCTGAGCACTTCCTTACTTCCTGGCACTACAAGATGCTCCATTGTTATCCAGCATATTTGTTGCCCCAACCCTAGAACCAGCCGTTTCTACAAGGGGCCCTGGTTCTTTTCGTCAAAGAATGATACTGGAAACCAAGATCTGAGAACTAGGTGACATTTTATTTCATGTTAATTAATCTTAATTTAAGTTTAAATAGCCACATGTTAATTTAAATTTAAATAGCCACATGTGGCTAATAGCTACCACACTGGACAATGTAGCTCTGGATCTTAATTATAATCCTCATAACATCAAAATACTGGACTCTGGTAGTTGCCAGGGGTAGGGGGGTGGGGAAAATGGGAAGATGCTGCTCAAAGGGTACCAACCTTCCGTATAAGATTAATAAGTGTGGGGATCTAATGTACAACGTAGTGATTATAGCTAATGATAACTGTATCATATACTTGAATGTTCCTAACATGTTCTCACCACAGAAAAGAAATGGTAACCATGTGACAGGATGAAGGTGGTAGCTAACACTATGGCGGTAATCATTCTGCAATTTATAAATGTGTCAAATCAACACACTGTAAACCTTAAACTTACATGATGCTATGTGTCAATTCTATTTCAATAAAGCTGGGGGAAAACACTGGACTCTGTGGACCCACGTGGACCTCATCTCTTTGGAAAGTGTAGTGATTTGGTTCTATGGCAAAGAGCCACTTACCCAATAATGAAGCAGGAAACGGCAGTCCCCAAGAAGGCATAAGCCAGTATAGACCCAAGATTTCTGAAAAAGTGTCTCTAAATAAAACAAAGAAGCAGGAATCACACTGTGAATTTTGACAGGGAACATTAGAAACACTACAAGGCTCTAAAAAGTCGAACTTCACTTATGCTTCCATTGTATCAAGTAATAACTGAAGTTACCAGAATAATGCTATTTAGCCTTAGAACATCATGGTTTTAACATATTGTTTGTGTTACCAATCACTGACAAGCAAGCAAGGGCTTAGCAAATTTCAGAAAAAACCTACTCTGGCTGATTATACTGAATTACATTAAGAGTGTGTGTGTGTCTGTGTGTCTGTCTGTGTTGCATGCATGCACAAATGTATGTATAAGTAGACAAATCATTCTCACAGATTTAATCCAAACCATTTTACCCTAGTGACTCAACTAGTCACTTCCAGTTTTGGTGGTACCTTAGAAGAACATTACAGATACAAGTTTGCAACTAATAAAGTAGGAAAGTGCTATCTAAGGAGCCTTCTGCTTAATTCAGCATCAGAAAACAGAGTGTCCTAACTATCTGCTCACGACATCTGAGGCGTCTCCTGATACTCATCTGATTTAATCTTTGGAGTGTAGGAAAGAGGGACAATAGAGAGAGATGTGGAGAAATGAGAAACGGGCAGCTCCATTTAAGACGGGCAAATTTATAAGTGTGTGCACACACACACAGACACACACACGTATATACACAACATATAAATATATATATACATGTTTATATACTTATACCAACAGAAGACCTAGCAATTATTCAGGAAAAGGTGGCAAAGCTGCAATCATCCCAATGCTTCTGCACATTCATTCATTGGTTACCATAAAAAACAACACACACACACACACAAGGATTCACTTCTCATAAATCATTGGGCCTGTGGATATTCTGATGGGGAAAATCTCTGTTCTGGGAACCCGAACCATGATTCTTACCTCTCAAGGCCTAAAGCTGTTCTCATTGGACAATCAGGACTATTTCAACAAAAACAAACAAAATCCCCCAAACGCCCTAATTAAAGAGGAGCTAGTGCTACCTAAAAATTGCACAAGGCAGGTGGGCCCCAGCCTGTGAGCTGAGCAACGTCAGAGAAAGACAGGATCTGGGAAGAACTCAGCCTGCATCAAGCAGCCACCACGAAGTCTGACTGGACAAAAGGCTGTGGGTGGCCCCCGGCCTGCATTCCAGACGGAGGACCTAAGGCCTTGGCTTCAGCCTTCTCCAAAGCCTGCTCCTCTCTGAGACTGTGAAGAAGGTGGCAAGGAATCCCTAGTGCCCCTAAACCACCTGCTCAGAAGCGAATTCTTCAAGAGATTTCCACACCGACCATTACAAATAAAGAAACTGCTTGGACATATTACAAACATATTATGTTTGCCTCCTAAAATCATTGTCCCCGGTCTTTTTTTTTTAATGCTAATGCATTTATCTTCCGATGTTTTGAAAAAATCGATTTCAAAAAAATCAACAATTGTGCGCCTCCTTGCCTTGAAAAGCTCCATCAAGTGCTTAAACCAGCGCAGGCTAGGAGCGGATCAAGGGTAAGACATGAGACCAATGAAACCCATGCCAAGTAGCCAGGAGCGAAACTGGAACCCTGGATGTGCTCGCCCTGGTTACTCAACTTTCTTCTGGGTCACCATTCCTGTGGTTGGTTTGAATATATTAAGTAAATTAATATTCATGATATATTAGCCAAAGCAAAATAATTAGAAACGTAAATCCACCACAAAAATGCATTCATGATCTATTCTCAAATCACACACACACATGCGCATAAATTACCCATCCCCATTCCTATCTGCTGATATGAACTGGAATTCTCCTGTATCTTGAAAAGGTATAACATGCCGCTTATACGTGTATTATTACACCTAATACTTAAATATATACTTCATAGTTTACAAAGTACTTTCACATATATTAGCCCATCCAATTCTCACCAACAACCTCATCATGAAGGTGTTCTTTGGACCCTTTTATATGAGAGACATCTAAGGCTCAAAAGTGTGATATGAGCTGCCCGAAATCACGTCTGGCAAGCTGCAGCACTGGAACTGGAAAGCAGGTCTTCTGAGCCCAGGGCACTGCATTCTCACTGCACAAGATACCCTTCTTGATTCCCACCACATCCCTTTAGGGAAGAAGGACAGGAGGTGTCTAGTGGAATCCTCCATCTTTTGTCCTTTTCCTATTTGGTCATAACAGTTCACAGTCATGTGTGGGTCACATGGCCATGACTGGTTCAGCCTCTGACTTTTCCCTTCTCTTACAGAATGGCAAAAAGAGACAAAAGGAGATGACACAGCCTGGTAAAAAGCCTTCAAGAATACAAGCCTAAAACATAACAGGATGAGAAGGTTTGCTTTCAGTGAAAATCCAGCCCGATTCTTAGTTGTGCCATTCTAAGCCTTACATTCCTACTCCATGGGAAACCCATCATCTCCCATTCCCTGGACAAATTTTAACACGGTTGTGTGTGTGTATGTGTGTGTGTGTGTGTTTGCTTGGGGAAATTCACAAAACATGAAGGCTTCTATAGGTGAATTCGTTCCCTGCCAATGCCCTGGAAGCGAACTGTCAGCTGTAGCACAAAAGTCAAAGCTAATTCCAATGGTACTTTTTTCAAGTTAGAAAAAGAAGGTCCAGTGGGGGAGGGTATAGCTGAGCGGCAGAGTGCCTGCCTACCATGCACAATGTCCTGGGTTCAATTCCTAGTACCTCCATTAATTATTAATTAGTTAAATAAAACCTAATTACCTCTCCCATATCCCCCCCCCAATGTATACAGTGCTGTATGTCAATTATATCTCAATAAAACTGGAAGGAAAAAAAATTTTTTTAAGAAATTCTTAAGAAAAGAAGAAGACAAAGAAGGTCCATGTCTGAATGACAAGTACATGCACATAGGTCAAAGAGTGTGAATATATCTGTTTACATCCCAGTAGGTAAATGGTGAAACATTTATTACACATTCAGCTGGAAACAGATTTAATCAGAGATAGCAACCACAGAAGAACCAACTATTTTGGTACCATATTAAAAACAAAAGAGACTAAACTAATAATAGCCAATAATAACCTTAAGGACTAGCATTTCAAAAACAACTTAAATTCATAACTGGCAAAGCCTGTTATTTGTTTTTCTTCGGAGAAAGTGAATCTGACAAAGGGAAGGCTCTGCAAACAGTAAGGTGTTTTTCAGCCATCACAGTGGCTTTCAGGACCAACGATTTGGTTTCACTTTAAAGCAACCCTGACCTTGATTATACATTAAGATTAGTTGGTTAAAATACCAAATTTTTCCTCACCCATTTGATCTGAAGAGCAGTCCCCAAATTCTTCATTTAGAGAAAGAATAATATTATTTATACCCATAAAATCATCTCCTACCTGTTACACGTCAATTGCTGACATATGGATTTGGATTACTTTGGCAACCCCATAAATTAGTCAGAAAAAGGATCCTTTTTTTTGTACAGAAAACCTAAGTCTGGAGGGAATATATATAACACAGAGGACCAACCCTAAGCCCTCCAGTCAGATAGACAAGTCATAATCTTGACTCAGCCCTGTACCCCCTACGTAACCTCACACGTGTCACTTCATCATTGTGAGTTCAGCTTCAACAGCAGTGAAACACAGGGCATTCTATACACGTCTGTGAGTGCACAAATGTGTGTTGGGCTGGTGTGCAGCAACACAGCCTCCTGCGCCTCAAGCATCCACTGTGGGTAAGAGGACTTCAGTTCCATCCTTCCCTCGAAGGTGATGCGGTAAGGAGGGGCCATTTGATCTCTGAAGGGGGAGACTGGCCTGACCTTGACTTGTAGCCTTGATCCTCCTGTGAAAAGTGGGGGGGGGGTTGCTCTTACTCCTACAGCCTCCAGGTTATGAGCAAAAGAGACAGTTCTAGCAATTTCTAGGATCTCTCCATTTCCACCTCTCTACCTGTGATGGTGACCCACCTGGTGGCTAAAGGGCATCCATCTTCAACTCATGATGTACGTAGTAAGTAGCCCCATTACCAAGGGCTAAACTACATCCTCCAGCATGTGTTACCAGGGACTCCAGGTCATAAATTCATCATTCAATCGCCAGTTAGCTCCTTGTGTCTGTTTATAAATGAGTTGGAAACCTGAGAAGAAGGGGTGTGAGCTACCCACCACCCTCACATTCGTACAGAGTTTCTGTGATGATTAGAAATAATGTATGTAAAAACAGAAATAAAGGATATGTGCAAAGCTCCTAACACATACCAGATCCTTCATAAGTAACTATATTTACGTTGGCTGGAAATAGCTTAAAAACCTGAAAATGGCCGTTGTTTTGACAGAAGAACCAGACTCATGGACAGGCACCCTCTCATAAAGTGAGTTGGGACTGTTCCCTCCTCTATGTTCTGAAAGATTTTGTGTAGGACTGGTATTCCTTCCTTAAATGCTACGTAGAATTCACCAGTGAAGTTTTCTGGGCTTGTATAAAGGTTTTTAACTATCAACTCAATTTATTTCATTAACAGAGAGCTGTTCAGGTTTTCCATCTCTTCTCCAGTCACTTTTGGTAATTTGTACTTTTCAAGAAATTTGCCCATTTCACCTGGGTCGTCAAGTTTACTGGCACAAAGTTGTTCATATTATTCTCTTATTGTCCTTTTAATGTATGAAGGGTCTATAGTGATGTCCCCTCTTTCATCCATGATAAAGTAATTTGTTTCTTTCCTTTTTTTTTTTTTTTTTGGCTTCATCGATCTATTCAGAGGTTTACCAACTTGGAAGATATTCTCCACTTCCTAAAAGAGTGTTGTTGAGTTTTATTGGCAACCAAGATCTCTCTTCTCTAGGCTCACTGAAAAGGTTTCTTTTAGTCCCCACTCAGAAAGACAGCTAAAACAAGTTCCTCGGCTATTACCTGAAAGAGGCCTTTGTGGAAGCTAAATTTTCACAGAACGTTCCCACAATGGGGGAGGAAGGGAACCACTCACGCTATGTGTAAAGGTATTTGGTATTTTGAGTAACGAGAGGCTTAGGTCCAACCATGCTACTGAACACAATGACCCTCTCTCAATAATAAGGATAGATTGTTTTAAACTTTCTATTTTAGAGTAATTATAGATTCACAGAAGTTATAAAAAAAATAATACAGAGAGGTCCCGTGTACCTTGACACGTTTCCTCCACTGGTTCTATCTTGCATAACTGTAGTACAATATCAAAACCAGGAAACTGTCACAGCAACCATGTGTGTGCAGACTTCTATGTCATCTGATCACATGTGTAGATTCTTGTAACCACCACTGCAATCAAGATACAGAACTGTTCCACTGCCACGAAGATCTCCCTCATGCTACCCGCTTTATAGGCACACCCACCCGCCTCTCATCCCCACCCTCCTTAACCTCTGGCAAACCACTAATTTGTTCTCCATCCCTATAATTTTGTCATTTCTAGAATGCTATATAAGTGAAATCACATAGTATGTGGTCTTTTGAGATTGGATTTTTTTTTTCCACTCAGCATAATGCCTTTGAGCTCCATCCAGGCTGTTCTGTGTATCAGCAGTCTGTTCTATCTTATTGCTGAGTAGTATCTCATGGTACGGATGTCTGTTAAACCACTCGCCTATTGTAGGACATTTTGCTGGCTTCCAGACTGGGGCTATTACAGATAAAGTTGCTATAAACAATCATGTACAGGTTTTTGTGTAAACAGAAGTTTTTCACTTTTGGGGGCTAAATCCTCAGGAATAAAACTGCTGGGTCGTATGGTTAATTTCAAAGTTAGTTTTAAAAGAAACTGCGAAAATATTTTCCAGAGTGGCTGTACCATTTCACATCCCCACCAGCAACGCATGAGAGAGTCAGATTTTTCAAACAGAAATGAGTCACTGACGGTGAGTCAACTGTAGTCTCTGAGTGGGTGCAGAACACAGTAATAAGCCATGTGGGAGAAGGAAAAAAAACTAGGAAATTATGCAGGTAAATTAATACAGAGATTCCCATGCTTCGAGAAATACTGGCAAAAATCTCTTACCTTCTTTAAACTGTATCCAGCATGGAAGATAATTGGAGGCAGGAGAATGTTGAAAAAGACCTCTGGATCAAATGTTACCTAAAGGTTTAAAAAGAAAAAAAAGCCAATTTTTAGTTTAATATCAACCGGTGCCATAATATTTGCTTAATATTTTAAGCCACAGACTAAAGTTTGAATATTTAAAACAAATGACATAAATGGGAAAGGTCACAGACCCATCACAGGAGAGAAGCCACGAGCATGAGCATGTCCTTCTCCACAAAGCACTTCTGCCTTCTGCTCTTGCCATGTTGTTTTTATGTTTTGTTTTGTTTTGTTTGGGTGGGTTTTTTTTTTTTGGCATGTTGTTTAATACGTATTCAGTGCAACTTCGAGAACTCACAGAAAGCTTCTGGTCAATGTTCTTACACAAGAAATCAAACTCTCTTATTAAACCTTTATAAAGGTTCAACTGCAATAAAAGATGCAGTCATGATCCTTTATTAATGTTCTGGGTCCTCCCCACAGAATGATTTATAGACATCATTGTAACGAATTTAAGCCTCTTCTGAGTGACCAGTCTTCTGTGATGTGTGATGTGGCCTAGATCAAAGTCTCTACTGATGCCAACGTAAATTCATCAATTCTGAGGGGACTAGAATTACCTGTAGGCAATTAGGGAAATCACTCTGAAACTATTAGACAGCAAAATCTTATCACATCCAGAAAAGAATTAAGCGTTCTCTAAGCCTCCTAACCTTTTTAAAGAATTTGTTCACACTGGGAGATTAACTGGCTCTGATTTCAATTAATTACTTTAAATCTCCGTTTGAATGATTAAAAGTAAAGTTAGCATTTTCTCTTTAGAAACTGGAAATGTTGACCGCCCTAATTAAAAGTATGTTTTAATTCAAATTATGTTTTATTCTTTCTTCTTGCTGAAGATAAAAGTAGTCTGAAAAACAGAGAATGGCCCAATGAGAAGGGGCCTTGGACACACACCTCTCCAGTATGAGGACACTGGGGCCCAGGAGAGAGGGACCTGCTGGAAGTCCTGTTTGAATCAGCACAGGAGTTCTCTGACACCCACTTCAAGACTCTCTGCATCAACCAAGCCGCCTCAACATGTCTCTTCTCCCCTCAATTAACAACTATCATCTCAGCCTCATTTGTCCTCCCACCTTTGCTTTGTGTGGCAGAAGTTGAAAAAGAAAGGAATTGAATTAACACTTTTTCTAAAGATAAGAGGGTAAAAGTCAACTTCATCTTCTATTATGAACGAAAAGATGAAAATGGGCTGACGTCTTTCCTTTTCCCCCCGATCCTACTGAGTATGAAGGATGCTGGTGGCCATTTCGAAACAGCCCTCAGTGTGGTATTTATACTGGGTACCTTTCTCAGTCACATTTAATTTCACAAATGTTTACGGAAATCCC